TTCAGTTTGTTCATATTGTAATTCATGATGAATGGATTGAAGGATGGAGGCAAAGAGTTGAGAATAACATCGATCTGTGTTACCAGATCCAGCCCGGATCCAAGAGCCTCCAGTTCATTGATGTAAACCATCATCCGAAGACAATGGTCGTGAACTTGTTGGCCCTTGGACATCTACACGGTCATGAACTGTTTCAAGACCTTCTGCCGAGTAGAACGATTATGCTCTTCGTACATTATCTTGAGACTGTCCAATATGTCCTTGGCAAGTTCAATTTGATCGAACTACCTCTATATTGGATTATCCAAGGAGGCAATGATATAGCAGCGGGCAAGGGAGTTTTTCTCCTCCCATTCTTGGTATTCTCTCCTTCGGGCCTCAGAAGCCTTATCTCCCGGACGATCTGGGGCAGGATTCTTGGCTACCTTATCCAGTTTCTCAGAGGTTAAGATCAGCATAAGGTTCCTATACCAGTTGGCATAGTTCGGGCCCTTCAGCTTGTTGTCATCAAGAAGCTTTGAAAATTGTTTGTTTGCCATTTTCTGATAAAAGAGCATGCATCAGTCCACAACCAAATTTGATTCATGTTCATTACATAGATATGAATTTTAATCTATGTTCCATTCCCATTTATTCATCTTTGAGATTTCTCTCTCATCTTAGTGACGGAGACTACGAGTTGTCTCTGGAAATGTGGGAAATCGCATAGGGTAAATGGAGCCAACTGTTTTAGCTGCATAACCCCACCACCTTTCTATGAATGATCATATCCACTCATCATATGAGCTTTCCCTTTGGCCTCTGTCAGACAAAGTTCAAAGCCATTTTCAGGTAAACCTTTCTATCCAATGAGTGCTTACCCATCATATTCGTGAACACCAAGGTACCGTGAGAGAGTTCCCATTTTCTGGTGAAGCCCCTCCCACATCGGTCTATGACGCCCCTATCATCTTATGAAACACTCAGACAAGCTCAATAGCAAATGGATAGCCCATTTTCTGGTGTGTTTCCTCATTACTGAAGGACCCATCCTCATGCTAATGATGGAAGGCCTTTAGAGAGTTCATCATATGAATCTCCCTATCACATGCACTCATATTATCTGGAAAGAACGAAAAATTACGCCCTAGTTTGATCTAGGTCAAACCAAAGTTGCTCCCACTGACTTTCATAAAGCCAGATTTCTGGTGAGCCTGAATCGGCTAGGATTCCGTACGAATCACTTTTAAGGATGTGGGGCCCACCAAAGAGGGAGGTCATCCAATGACCAAAAGGGACACCATGGCAATGATGTGCATTCAGCCATGGGTGCTCAAGAGCCACTGTTGAAACTGCATGGACCAAATTCTTATGCTCCATGCTCGAAGCACATCACACATCCATACATCACATGCAAGGATAAATTGATCCAATCAATTAAATATCTGTAAATCCCATTTGAAGCCCATTTTAATCCATAATATTAACCATTAATATTATCTAGGTATATGGGCTAAATTAGAGTTTATCAATT